AGTGTGTTTCCTGTTTCAGCTTCTGACTCCAGCTTCCTACAAATGCGGAAATTAGGAAGCAGTGGTAACAGCTCGAGTAACTGAAAGTGTGCCTGCTGCCCAGATGGAGACCGGGATTTGTTACACTCCTGGCTTTGGCCCTGGGTCCCGCTCTATTGCAGGCCTTTGGGGAGTAGTAAACCAGTGGATGGGTTTCTTCTTCCTTTCGTCTGTCTCTGTGTGAAAGTGTGTATGTCTGTCTCTTGAATAATGTATTAAAAAACAAGCTTTAAAAAAGAACCTATGTGTGTCAATAATGGGTCGATATTGGCGATATCGTGTATTTCCACCTAATGTTTGGTTTCTGTGGTGCATAGAAGCAGGAAGAAGTTCCATTTGGAAATTTGTTGAGTGAGAATTAACATCATAACTAAACCCCACCAAATAAGCAGAAACAGCTCCAGAATACTACACTGTAATTCTCCCTCCACTTTTCTTGATGGAAAACTCCGTTGCCCATCACTGGAGGTGGGTTTGATGGTATTGGGAGGGGGACATAGGAATGGTGGTGTGATACCAATGGGAACTTTAAAATATTCACCGTGTGAGCCAGACTTGAGTTATGAAGCATTGACACATGCTATGATCCTCTCAGACATACTGATGGCAGATACTGTGATGACTACAAGATGCAATAAGTCAGAGTACACAAGCCAGCCTGAACTCATCCATATGTCATCATGGCAACCCCACTGTTGCTAAAATTGCTGGGGCTCTTAGAGTAACAGTGGTGATAGGGTAGTAGGCATGGCTCCCAGTATTAGCTCAGAAGGTCAGTAGTACTTTCTGGAGAGTACACTGTTGGGCCTGCTTTGAATGTATTTCTGGTGGTTTTAATTTGGGGCAAAAAGATGAAAACTGAATAGAAATAGGAAGATAAATTTGAACATGAAATCTATCTTTTGAGAAATCTTATTTTTATTGAAATAGTATTCTAAGTAAAGAACTATTTAAATGTTTTTTTCTCAAGATTAGTTATATAACCAAATAAATTTTGAAAACACTGAGTTAATAAAAATTAAACAGGTTTTTTAACTTCTGAATGGTTTAGTTTTTAATGTGGTAATTAATATGCAGTGTCAGTCTCATTAAATAGAATACAGCATGCACCATTTTCCACAGTTCAATATTTGCATTATTAAAAAGTTAATTTATTTTCAACAGATCATGAGATTACTGAAAATTAAATAAAGTGTGTGACAATATTTGACATGCTCTGCTTTTTAATTTGTCTTATGGTAGAATTAATTTTATTGATATTAAATTAGGTCTTTAATAAATAAAGCCTGCTGGAATAAAGGCCTCCTTCATTGCTTCCTGCACTCTTCTTTCGTCCTGTTCAAGCTCTTCTTTTCACTGATCATTCTGCTTCCTAGTGGTATTTATAGCCTGTTTGACTTGGAAGTGTGTAATCATGAAGTCAGATAATATTATGTCTTTAAAAATTTTAATAGTATCAATTTTTGAGAGATTTAAAAACCAGTATTTTTACTTTTCATGATAAACTTTTGCCAGTGCCTTATTGAAAGATTAATTCAGAAAGCAAATTAATGTGGCATTCCTTTAGAAAAACCCAAGGATTTCTTCTTAGGATTTTTCAACCTTACTTACACAGGGGCCTCTACTGTGTTCTTACACAGCAACCACCATTGGGAGTGATGAATAATCATGATGCTGTGTGTACACAGTATTATATACTTGTTGTAATCTGCCTTACGAAGATGATCAGGATTAATGAATCCTTTATTTTTAAAATTTCAGTTTTTGAAGTAACAGCCTTGCTTTTTACCTCTTTTAAACCGAAAGGTAAATAAGACAAAAAGGATCGTTTGTAGCTGTGCGCAGTGCGTCCCGCGGATGTGCTGGCACTCAGGCAGCCTCTGCGTGAAAGCCAAGTTCTTCAGCTTACGTTACAACCAGTGTGATGGCAGCTAGGTCCCTCGATAACTCAGGACGAGAAGCACAGTGCTGTACGCACACAGAATGAAGGCGCCTCTGCCTTGTTAGCATCATTCTATAGCTTCACTTCATATTTGTTTATAGAACAAAAATTAAAAACAAGTTATGAACTTAACTAATCAGCATTCTCTCTTAGAGGGAAAGTATGACAGATCTTCAACCACCAACTGTTTGTAATTCTAAAATGGAAAAATCTTGTTAATAATTTCAGGGCTTTTTTTTGCATAGAATTTTTATGTTTTGTCCTACCTTCATGTTTAAATATCACATACATTTTAACAGCTCATATATTTTAGGTTACCACATTTTAATTCTACTTATTTTAGTACCAACCACATGAAAATGAAATGATGTCCATAAGGAGAGACAGCATAGCTACTTCAGTGGAAAAAGCTGCGACTGTGAGCCGAGAGCTCGTGTCTAATCTTTCCTGTCTTATTGTGAATGATGATATCTGTCTCACTGCAAGGGCGGGGAGCCTGGAATCCGTGTACCTGTGAGAGTATTTGCACACTGGAGCACTCAGAACACTATTACTATTATAGTGTTATTCTTTTACATAAGAATTTATGGATTCCAGAGAACTCTTAGATATAGTTTCCTTTGTTTCCCAAGTGTGTGTGTGTGTGTGTGTGTGTGTGTGTGTGTAGAGAGAGAGAGGGAGTTCTGAAAGGTAGTTGAGTTGGTCTGGTGTTATGCCTGCATCCCACAGTCCAGTGTCCTGTGCACAGTAGGATTTTTAACGTTTGTTTATTAAGTGGTGAATGAATTCTTTGCAGTATAATTGAATATATGTGAGGCAAACACAATAAATGAACTTTAAATTGGATTATTCTTTTTAAATCGTTTTACCTGCCATATTGTTTAAACAGCGTTAGTACAATGTTGACAAATCTGGACTCTTATCGTTATTATCTGGCATAACATCAGGACTACCTAAGTGCTTATTTTAGCACCGTCACATTGCTAAACAAAGCCCCACAGTTATGACTTATTTGGCACAATTTCCTACGTATTTCAGAAGGATAAAGTATGGTTTATACTAGATATTTTTCTCCATAATACTTATTTAAACATTGTATTATATCCAAATTAGCCTAAAAGACTGCATTCATTCTCTGGTCCTTGGCTGGTGTGCCGCTTACTCACAGATTCATTGACTATGATGGATTATAAACTGCCTGTGAGACCCACTTCCATGGACTGGTCATTTGTTAAAGTGCAAGTGAGTCACCATTCCCTGTGCTTTTGGACTTCACAACACATGTAATAAGTCGTTTTTAATGACTTTCCCCACAAAATATCTGCCTTTCATCTGCGGATCAGCCTGGTTTAAATCTACTTTGTCCAATACTACCCCCAAAGAAAACTTTTCTCCCTCATTATACTTTTCTTTTTATGAAACCATATCCTTGCAGATTTTAAAACCAGAGTGCAAAGTAATTGTGCCTCCATAAAATAGCTTCATAAAAGGAAACAATATTCCGCATCAGCCTTTGCACCTAATTCACCTTTTAAAAACAATTTTCTGCATTCTTGATAAATTTTATGCTGTACAACAAAGCCACCATTTGTCAACTGTGCACCTGACTCATTGTAAGCTCCTTAAAAATAGATAAAATCATGGTTCACCCATCTTTGCTTCCCAGCATCAGCGCAGTGCTTTATATTTAATGAGTAGGCAACATTTTTTATTAAATTTGGTTGTCCTAATGCTTTCATAAAAATCTGTAAAAAATTCTTAGCAGACGATTATGTACAACCAAAAAAGTCATTTCCTGAAGCCAAGCATGCAGAGGCAGGCCTGAGCTGTCACACACCTCTCAGGTGTTGGGGTAGAGACTGGGCATCTGTGTGCTGGCATTTCCGTGTGCAATGACTTGGTCAGTTTGTTGTGATTACCTAAACTCTGGGAGTTTTGTCTGAATCTGTCTTGATAACCTCTTATTCTCCTTTCAAAATAGCACTTAAAGTAGGATGGCTAGGATCATTGCAATCACATCTTGTTCAAGAGTAAGGTCAGTGAGTCCTGTAAGTTTCTGGTCAAAAAGAGCAGTGGGAAAGTGAACTAACATCGATTTTATGCTGTTCTTTGTGGGATGGTGTGCAGCTAATTGCTTTACATAATTCATCTCATTTCATCTTGACCACAATCGATATCAGACCGCATAGCTCTCGTTTCAAGGAAGATTAAGTCATTTGTCCAAGGTTACCCCGCCAGTGAAAGGAACAGCCAAAATTTGAAATCATCTATGACTGACAACAAAGCCTGTGTCATTTAATTACCTCTCTATTATTTACTCTTTTCCCTTTGATTACTAGCTACATTTAGTTGTTAAACAAAATCTCGGCAATTTTAAGTGGGTAAACTGACAAGATTTAAAGTAAGGACTATTGAAGCCAAAAAAGCCAAATTGTCATTTATGGTGGTGGAAAATAAGCAATTGTTGAGCCATCGCTTGAAAGTCAACCATATGCACAGAAGGGATCCATGTGTAAAGAACCATTCATAACTTAGTTTGATGTCACTATAAATCCTACAGATTCCTCCAACCTCAACTCAGACAACCAGGTGTTCTGTGTCAGTCTGTACTGTAGACAAGAGGAAGTAGCCACATTTTCCTGATGCTCTGTGGAAGGGAATCAAGAGAGACAATAGGGACTTCTTTCTCTTCTGCTCTGAGAGGTTGCTGTTGGCAGTCCCTGCATCACCTTTGAAGAGCCCACTTAGTTAACTGTAACTTGATCCCAGGCTTACTCCTTACCTCTGCAGAAACAGAACCCATTCTCCAGCAAGAGACCAACCTCTCCTGGATTTGTGTATTATCCAGAAACCCGGACGTACCTCCTACAACTTTCATGTATAGGAAGCAATTCTAGCATCAACAGTAACTACTGAATAGTTTGTAGGACGATTATGTACGACCAACCCTAAGGAGACTTGAGTCTGGATGGAGTTCTCCCACTACTTTTGCTTTCTGACCTGGGCATCTTTTGCCAACCTCTTGGCTTCTCATTTTGCTCATCTGTTAAACTTAAGGAGTAAATAAAACCATCTCCAAAATTCGTCAGCTGTCGTTTACAGTTTTCCCGTGCACATAGGCCCGCCTCTTGCTCCATGACCAGGAAAATCTGCAGTGTGCTCACCGTGAACAGGGTGATACTGTTTGACAGGCTTCCTCCCACCTGTTGTCATCCCTGTAATTCTGGCAGGAGTTGCAAGGACTCATGGCTCACTGCTGAAGGCACAGCTTTATTTTCTTCCACCTGACTTTCAGGCAGCACTAAGGGAATTCTCTCCATCAGGGAGGATAATCCTGAAATGGGGAAACTTAGAATGGTTTTGAAGGCCACCAGCCTGGTCTGCAACATTTCTCCTGTTCTACCTGGGGAAGCTGCAGTTCAGTTTACCTGTGTGCTCAGGGGTGGGGAACTCCATCGTCTGCAGCTTTTAGAGTCAGATGTCACTTCATATATGGGACTTGCTTTTCTTTTTTACGTCTTAGGCTTCAATTTTCTCAATTACAAAATGGAGACTATAGGTTTAAAACAGTTTACAGTTAAGCATCCTTAAATACATATGTGCTCATACATCTTACAACTAATAAGTCCATTATTATACATTATGAAATACAGAAAATATAGTATCTGTGTCTTATGCAATAAATATTAGTTGCTCATGGCATGAGTATTAATACTACTGCTGTCAGTGGTGTTGATAGTAAAGAGCACTGTTAAGTGCAGTAAGATATTGGTGTTTACCTAAATTTTCAGAAATCTGTCTGAAGAAAGTATGGAGACAGTAATTCATTCTAGCAATATAAACATTTCAACAATACGCCTGGAAATATTAGCAGGACTTGGGTAATGAATTCTCTCATGAAGAGACACGGTGGCAATCCTCAGAAAATGAGATGTTACCCTTTAAACAAGTTGTTTTGAATTTTGGGGAAGGATCTGCCATCTCAAAACATGTACGTTATTTGGAAAAATGATGCACCTGCAACCCTGGGTATTTAGCTCTAATACTTGTTTTAGTGCTTGTCTGGGTCAGGAGATGTGGCTATAAAATGCTCATTTCTGTCCAAAGTCTCTAACTTGAAACCTGATTTTAAACAAAACACATATTAAACAAGGAGGTAGGAAAAGCATAATGAGCCCTCTTCCGTAATAACACACACTGTTTTCATCCGCGTGTGTGTGTGAGCAAATGAGAGAGGCCCGTGTAATGTCAGAGCTGCTGTCACAGTTGAACTCTTGGTCCTTCTGAGCGACGAATGAGACAAGCCTGGACCTCTCCTTTCAGCTGCAGCATCTGCAGGTTCATCTGTAGCAGCTGACAATTATTTCAACTCCTGTCTCAGACAAGGTAAAGGTTTCTAAGGTACAAAACTTGAATCATAAAGAACAGATTAGTGCTCACTTTTCCTTTAAGAAGTGGTTAAGTTGCTAGGAGACCACAGAAGGGTGTTAATGATTAAAATTTCAGACAGCTCCTAAGTAGGCTGGTGTCCCTTTAGAAAAGATATTTAATGCCTGCTCACACTAGACTATGTCATTAATAATTAAATGCCTAATTATTCTGTTCTTACAGACTCTTAAGTTTGGTGGGGAGAAGAGAAATAATTAGGGGAGGAGAGAAGAAAATAATTTATTAGCATAAAATCAATGTTACTTCAACATTAGTTAAATGACTATTATGTGTGGGCCTGATATATGGCTCCAGGGATTCCTCCTTAAATAAGACACTGTTCTGTCTTTTAGGAGTTCACCCTCACGAAGAGAGAAACATCTAAACAACTAATTTCAGTGCAAAGTAACACCTGTAAATATAGGGCTACCATAGGTGGTTCGAAGAATGTATTCTATGAATGAATTATTAACGTGTGAGTGTTTAAAGTGCTGTGTAGACATGTGCTATGTGGGGTGACCTGCAGTTTACAGAGGAGTGGATGTTGGAACTTTACGTTGGAGAGAGAGTAGGAGCCCTAAAGGGTGAGCAGATTGAAGACAGCACCAGAGTATCCCAGGGAGACAGTGCAACGTATGTGAAGGCAGGAAAGTGTTTAAAAAAAAGTAAAAGAACAAGACATACCCAAGGGCAGGAGAGCTGTGTGTGGATGGCGCAGAGTGCGTAGCAGAGTGGGGAGGAATGAACTCCGCGAGTCTGAGGGCTTTACAGTTAGGACGGGCGTTTTAGACAGAGAACTCTGATTAGACTGAAGAGGAATGACCAGAGAGGGAGAACTCAAAAGGCAGAGATGAATAAAATAGGTACTGAGTTAGAACAAGAGAGGCGTTATGACCTGAACTAAAACAGGGTCCTCAGAGCTGGGGGGGGGGGGTGCAGAGCAATGTTTGGAGATGGAATTTGTGGCCCTTGAAGAGGCACTTGAATTCTGTCGCAGATGGGTGGGTACCTGTTACGATTATTCATCAGCACCGATGGATTAAAGTGTGTGTACACTAACTTTGTGATTTGGGGACCTCAAATTTAGAGAGAAAAACAATCTTTGCAGAAAACAACTAAGACTGTATACCTGGAGCCGGGAAAGCACACAGTGGCTGTGCCCCGTGGTACCTGACAGCTGAAGCTGCAAAGTAGGGAGGGTCGCCACAGACAGCCAGGGCCACGGAATTTGGAAAGTTCTGGAACATTTCCTCTGCAGGCTCTGCCTGAAAGCATAACAATATTTTTGAGAAGTTTCAAAGGTAACCCAAATTAAGTAATGCAGGTGCGGGTAAATCAGTGATTGTGTTTAATTGACATCTAGGGAATGTCTCACAGGACCTTCCAAGAATGACTCATTCACCCTGCTGAAAACTCAGTAAGATAAAGTCAATGAGAATTTAAAAATTCGAGTTGTAAACTTTTTAAGTTGACATATTTAATAAATGTATCTGAAATTTTGTCGAATCTTACTTTCATTTTATTTGAAAGGGAGAGAGAGATACTTTGTCATCTGTTGATTCACTTTCCAGATGCCCAGAACACGCAGTTGCAGCTGGGTCAGGCCACAGCCAGGGGCCTGGAACTTCCTCCAGGTCTCCCACACGGGTGGCAGAGGCCAAGCGTTTGAGCCATCACCTTCTGCCTTGTAGGGTGTGTATTAGCAGGAAGCTGGATGGAAGGAGGAGAGCTAAGACTCAAACCAGGGACACGGATATGGGATTCGAGCCTCAAGGAAGCAGTGTCTAAGTGCTGTACCAAACGCCCACACCTTTATATTTTAAAATCCAGCAAGCACAATAAAATTATTCACAACCAGTTTTTTTGTATACATAATGATCATAAGATACAGGTGAATTGTTTCTGTTAGAATAAGGCTTCATTGTTCTCAGTTTAAAGAACCTTTTTTTTTCTGCTTTAAGAGAAAAGTCCATGTCTTTCAAGAATTACTTATATTCAGATTGGAAAGTTTTAAACTTTATCCTGAGACCTACAGTAAGAATATATTAAACCTTCCAATCGAGTAAGTGGACACAAACATGAAACACAACCTACCCTTGTTTATGTTCTCTGACCTTCTTATCTGTATTTATTTATTTATTTGAGAGACAAACAAATAATACTCCCATTCATCGGGTCCTTTCCTAAATGCCCGTGTGAGCTGGGAACTCAATCTGCGTCTCCATGTGTGTGGCAGGAATCCGACTACTTGAGCCATCACCAGTGTCTCTCAGGAGTCCACATTGGCAGGCAGCAGGAGTTAGGAACTGGAGCCAGGCAGGGATCCTAGGTATGGTTTTTTATGGCATGTGGGCATCTTAAATGCTGTACCAAACACCCACCTAAAAAATTACTTTAATGGATGTGATGCCATCAAGTTAGTTTCACAGTGATGAAGATAATGAATGAAAGCTCCGGGGAAAATGTGATCGGGAGTGTCTTTGTGAAGGCTGCAGTAACAAAACACCACAGAGGGGCAGCTTCGAAAGCCATGTGTGTCCCGAGAGCTCGCCTCCTCTTGCACATGGCCGCCTGCTCTGTGCACGCATGCCCCTCTTAGCAGGACACCAGTCGTTTTAGATTAGGGTCCACCCACCTCACCTCATTTAACCTTAATGACCTCTTTAAAGGCCCTGTTTACAAATGCAGTGATGTTCAGGTATACTAGGGATCTGGGACTTCCTCGCAGTCATTGTAGGAAACACAATCCAGTCCATAACAAGGAATTTCGGATGAACAACAAAAGGTGGCCTACTGCATACAGTTATAGCCCCCTTCCTCCCCTAAAAAAGTTTGTGGATAGATTTGGTGAGCCAGAGAGCTAGGAAAGCTAACCAGAGCCAGAGTATTGGTCCTGAACCCTGATGGGAGCGGGATAAAGGAGCAGGAGACTGTACAACTGGAAACCCCTTCTGATGCTGTGGAGAACGGAAGGCCAGCACGGGGAAGAGTGCTAGGTCTGCTGACCTGACCTGCCTCCCAATTTGCAGGCAGAAAGTGGATGTCCAAGACTCTTCAAAGTGGGCCTGCTTGTTGTGTGCCTGCTGCTCACCAGGTCTGTCAATAAGGAGCAGGGGATGTGGCAGATGGAGGCAGGCTCTTAGAGCACATCATTTTAAATACTGTGTAGAGTTGAAACATCTCTGGAAGTGAAATGTGTAGCTGAAGTTACTATTTTTCTGACATTCCAAGGACTGCACTGTTATCCAGTGGTGTGTGTAATAGAAAAAGAAATATAATTGTATGTGCTTGAAGTAATGATTAATCCTTCCTCATTAGGTTTGAATTTTCCTATTTTCCATGTTTAGCAATTTTTTATTATCTTGTAGACATAATGATTTTTCTGTTGTCGGGTTTAGGGAATTTGTTTTCTTCCTTTAGAGCATATTGAGTTTTGTTCTGGCAGGTAGTTCATTTGCTGGCAAAGCAGTGTGATCCTTTTTAAAATGCTCTCATGGTTACTTTGGGTGGGTCTAGACCTTTCACGGGTGCCACATGAGACTGTGTTTTTAAGTGAAGTGTTTCATTTTGCTGGCAGGCAGTTTCGTCTACCACTGTGGGTGACATTTGGGTTCTGACCACTGCGTGGTTTATTGGTAAACTGCTGGCTGCCAGGCCTTACAGAGTTTGGCTCTGTGTCTGTGCCACTTAGTGTCCAGCTGGTGACTTG